GGGAACTCCTACGGTGATGGTCATGATTATGGAAAAATATATGCACATTCTGCTTCCTCAAGATCAACAGCTTCATATAAGATTGATACTGCTGCTCATAGTGTTCAAATGCCACCAGATGGTAATCATCATAGAAGCTTATCAAATGAGGAGGAAAACAAAGTTCAAAGCAGTATGCAAAAACAATCTGGTAAATCTCAGATTGAAGGTATGAATCACTCGCAAGAGGGTTTTAGTTCTGAGAACCTAGATTATTCTCGAGAAGGTAGGATTAATAAACAATCCAGTGTCCTCTCTTCCAGTTCCCATTCCAGCGTCTCTAGCAGTGATGAAAAATACTCAATTTCTGGCCACAACATGTTTGACTATGATGCTGGTAAGGAATTTTCTGTTGATATTGATCAAGAGAAAAATGCTAGAGATACTGTACAACCCAGCTATCATGCTAGTGCAGCTCCTGTAGTTTTTGATGATTCTGGTTCAGACACTGAAGATTTTGTGTTTGATAAGGGTTTCCGGATTGATGAGGAATCAAATTATCAGTTTGCACCACTGGGTAGGAACTCACCTCCTCGTCTTTCTAATAGTAAGGGGAATGAAAGCCTTGAATCTAAAACAACCAAATCACTGGAAAGCTCTATATCAGAATTTTCCACCAAAAAGCACTCCTTCCCCGAGTCTTCTGAAAGCTTAGAAGCACCTGTGGATGGCTCACAAGCAGATAATTTTGGTCCTGCGACCTTTGATGATTCAGATGGTGCAAATTCCGAGAGCGAGATTGATATGCTTCATTCTGTTCACCATGCGACAGTGGATTATGGTGATCTTTTGACTGAAAAAAGTAGCAGTCTTGGGTTTTCAGACATTGAAAGGCATAGGAGTGACTACTACAGAACAGAAACTGCTGTTGACTCCTCACAAAAATTTGGTTTTGGTGATTCACCTACCAGTCAATCTTCTTTCAGACTTGGAAAGTCTCATCGAGAGTCCATTAATGCTGGCAGCAAGTACGATAATGTAAAGCTTCATGATTCAGATGGTGCAAATTCTGAGAATGAGATTGATATGCTTTATTCTGGTCACCATGGGACAGTGTATTCTCAAGATCTTTCAACGGAACGAAATAAAAGTCCTAGGTTTTCAAATGCTGAAAAACATAGGAATGACAGTTACAGAGCAGAAACTGTAGTTGAGTCGTCGCAAAAATTTGGCTTTGGCGATTCACCTGCCAGCCAAATATCTACAGGACTTGGAGAGTCTCGCCAAGAGCCCACTGTTGTCGGCAGCAAGTCTAGCTTTTACAATTCAGTGGATGGGGTGGGAAACCTCGGTGCCTCGGGATCAAAGAGTTCGTTGGTTCATGAAGTTGAGGACAATGTAGGGGTATCACATTCACATGGAAGGCAGATGGATGATGAAAGTTCAGATGGTAGCATGGGGTTGAGCTTAAAGAAGTTGACGGGTGGCCTTCGGCAGAAGGGTTATATGCGCCCTCCTTATACAAGGAGTCAAGTGGATGATACTTCATCCTCGGCTGGAAGAGTTTCTGAAGCCAATCCAAACATGATTCCACAGCCTGCTGCTTATATTACTACTGAAAGCTTGGCTAATAAAGGAAAGAATGAAGGTGTGGGTAGTGGTAGAAGCTCAAGATTGTCAAATTACCATTCTGATTCAGAGAGTGACAGTTCCGTAGAGGAACTTAGGAAACAGCCAGCAAGTCGCAGACAAGACCCAAATATTCAACATCCAGGGAACAAAGATAGAAAGCAGTCAAGCTTGAGAAGTTCAGTAACATATTTTGATTCGGATAGTAGTGACTCGGAGGATGATTCTGCTCAAGTTTTCACTGGCAGAAGTCATTTGGGAAGTGGAATTTCTAGGAGGACAAAAGCTTCTCCATCGAGTTCTACCTTAGTTTCTAACTTAAAGGGTGGGTCAAACTCTAGGATGCAAGTAAATCCTGATTCTTCTGTGGAAAGAAATCCAAAAAGACATTATTATGGTGTCGAAACTCCTCAAGAATCTAGGACCCGGACTAGGAACTCAGACCAGCAGGCAGATTCCCAGCAGCCTAGCTCAGCAAAAGTAGTATCTAATCCAAGTTTTATGTCTAGTATTCCATTGCCAGAGGAAAACAAAAGCTCATCTAGAGTAGAACAGCTCCCCAGCTCAGAACAAAAGGTAGATACATCCCGATCACGGACTAGGCACTCAGATCAGCCAGGAAATTCTGAGCAGCCTAGCTCAGCGAAAGTAGCATCTAACCCAAGTTTGGTGTCTAAGGTATCATTGCCCGAGGAAAAGCGAAAGTCATCTGGCTTAGAACAACCAAAGAGCTCAGAGCGGAAGTTAGAAACATCTGATAGCACTGAAAATCAGAAGACAGCAAGTGGGAGTGCATTTAGTAGAGAGGATAGCTTGAAGAAAGCTAGTCATGTTCATCCAAAGCTCCCAGATTATGACACGCTAGCTGCCAAATTTCAGGCTCTTCGGACGAATCGTCAGTGAAATTTTTTTTTTCTCGTATGCTTTGATTCTTTGATACATTGCAATAAGGGGATCTGGCTCTTTAGAGGCGACTGGAGCTTGTTGTCTAAAGAGAATTCTGAGAAGGAAAGGATGTTACAGTATATAAAGTTCGCATAGTGGAAAAGTACGTTGGTTCATACATCTCAAAGGATATAGTGTTGATTGCTGTATAAAAGATGCCTCAATTTGTTTTGTACATGAGTTTTGGTTTTTACAAAAGATACCTCAAGTGAGCAAAATAATCTTTGGTTGGCCTTAGCTGTATGATTTTTTTAATCTTGTATCTGCTGCTCTTGAAATAACAACTCGTTGAATCCTGATAATTTAGATGCTGCTCTGTGCTGACGATCAGGAGCCCTTTCGCGAATCTAAAACCGATCGCTGCTCTTTGCCTAATTAGTTGGTACGACACCAGAGACAGGCTAACTAGAGCTCGTGGTATGTTGTTATTGTGTGGGATTTGAGATCTTTTCCTAATGCTTAATACCATAAAAGCAAAAAGGGGAATAAAGGAAACATCTTTTTCGTTGAAATTTGAAGCATACTGATAATTTGTTCTCTCACCGTATGGACATCCTCCATCCCACAACAAAAGAGAATTAAGAGTGTTTGGCTCTGTGGATTTCTCATGGTAATGGTATAGATTGAAATATTGCGAGAAATATAGTGAAATACTAACAAATTTGGTTTTCAAACTGATATTTTGTGGGAGATCAGGCAGCAAAACTGTGTTTTTATCAAGAAAAATGAAAGAAATTTATACATAATGCGTTATCAACAGAGGGAGTTGAGGGCATAGTTGAATCAGAATTTCATAAAACTAACTAGGAGACGAGCAAACAACTTGGCAAAGTTGGAGTGCCAATGCTAAATCCAATAATTGTTGTTGGAGTAGTTTCGGTGGGATCTCTTCAACACAGATTTGTCCAGACAAGTGACTATTTGAGAAAAAAAAAAAATTTTTTGATTGCATCGTTTTTTTTTAATCAACTTCCTGATTTTTCAAGTCCCAACTATCCTTTTATCTTTCTTACCTTACGTTACAAGCATTGATACGGTATTAGTTGATCACCTTTTCATTTTTTCAACTGCATTTTAGTTGAGTAAAGTGATTCATTTTCAACAAATATTTTCAATCATGAAGTCACAATTACAAACACCAATTGAAATTCAATCCATCCAACACAAGATGTAATAAAGATGAATCACGAGAGTAGAATCCAAAACATAATACGAGTAATCGTGACAACCCAAGGACATTTAATGCTAATAAGGTAGTTAAGACTTGAACAGAAATCGAAAACCATCCATCTGGAATAGGTGGTGCTCCTCAATGCGAAATGTCTAAATGAACGCACAACCCTAAGGCGCAACCATCATATGTCCTTGTTTGAATTGTGATTTTCTACCAAAAATTTTTTTTACAGTTTTTATGAATATATTTTTAATTTTTTTTAATCTAATATATATTAAATCGTTATAATACAATTTTTTTTAACAAAAAAAGAAGTCCTAAAAATAACAATTCAAATAAGGTCAGTGACTCAAGAAATACCATGCCTAACAACATGAGTTATAGGAGTATTAACTTTTGTGCCATGCCTCACAGCATGAGTTATAGGAGTATTAACTTTTGTTATACTAGGTATCCGTATAACAACTATCACGATCGGTCCACTCCTTAGTCCTTGTAGTAATCGGCAAAATTACTACACCTTGATTAAGGTTTTGGATTCTGAATCGTGAAGAAAACATCAACGTTAGAAGAGCTATAACCATTGAGTTTGGTACAGTAGTTATCACCAAGCTTGTAAAATTGGTGAAATGGGAGATTAAGAGTTCAAATCTTATCTTCCACTATCTGTCAGTATATGTAATTTACTATTTTAAAGTGATTTCAAACGGATGCATGATACATTTGGGATCGATGGTAATTTAATTCCCATCGATTTTCTCTTGAGTCTCTTTAGGTCTCCGTTCCATAGCATACAATAAATGTAGATCTATCATATTTCCAAAAAAAAAAAAATAAAAAAAAATGGGGGTGGTTAGAAGATCTACCTGCCAAGATCGAAGAGGTCTGACAATCCAATGACCATCTCTAGATTAATGCGGCCACTGAACGATCACCGCAAGGGATGGTGACGGTGTACCATCAAGTCGTCCACGTCAATACTTCAATACTTCAATGCTGTCGCCCACGCAAGGGAAAATGCCGTACTCTACTTTCTTTGGGATTCCTTCTCTCTTGCGACACTCCAGAGAACGGGAAAACTTAAAATAAGGCTTAGGGTACTCTCTTTCTCTCTTCTCTCTGTTAGTACGATGCTAAATCGAGGCTTTATTTTGTGATTTCCCTCTGGTTGGAGAATGGCATGTTTATCATTCAACTATTTCTTTTTTTTTTGCTCAATTATTTGATAATTTGTTGCCTTTACCGGTGCATTCAAAGACTTTTTTTTTTTTGGTTTCTAAGCTCATCTAAGCAGTTTGTACAGGTTTGGCATAAGTTAATGTCTTCTTGAAATATTAACACTCTAATGTTGGGACTTGGCGAGATTTTGATCAACATGCTATGGTTCATTTAGGTTGAACAAGCCTCTTGATTCTTTTTTACAGTTAGATTCGTTTCTTGATGCACACAAGGTGGTGTTTCATCATCAATTCATGGATTCTACCCTCTTAACTGCTTTTATACGTATTGGTAATCTGTAAACTGTTGAGTGGAATGAAGACGTCAAGGAATGCCCCCTTTTGAAGTTCAAGAGCGACTAGTAAGGAGATATGAAGTCCGCAAAGTAGCAGGGCTTCTAATTATTTTGTTTAATACCTGGTTCATTTATATAGTTCTGGTTGAAGCATGTGTAATAATTTCCTTGCACATTATTAAACAAGGCAAAGGTAGATACATGGTGCTACAAAAATTTAGAATTCACCAGCATAGCTTCTGCTGTTTAGCGTTCTGCATGTTGGGGCAAGTTCACACATTGCAGAAATTTTTGCTTTCAACCAAATGCTGAGAATTGCTGAAATTCACCTGCTTACTCTTTTCTCTTTCTCCTTAACTGAACAAGACAAATACTATCAAAAAACTTTGTTTGGATTGCTGCTATATTTCTCCTCAATGTAGAATCAACCTTTTGATACATCTATCTATATCTCGTATAATAGTCAGCAAGGCAAAAAGATTAGTGTATGGTCCTTTACATGTTTAACATTAGTTTTGACAGCACTAGGCCTCAATTAGCCTATTATCCGTTCAATAATTTACTCTGTCATCTATGTAGTTGCTTGGGAACAATGGAAAACAAGGGATTGTTGCAGAGTAGGGAACTCTATCAGGTAACCTTATTCCTCTAGTTCGAAATCTGTGTGTTTCTCTACTGGAAAGCTTAATGGCACTCATTCTTTTACCATGACTCAGTACCTCCTGGAGACTAGTGTCTATCCACGTGAACTGCAGCCTCTCAAGGAGCTAAGGGATGTTACTGCAAGTCATCCGTGGTAACATTTTTCAAACTGTTAATTGCTCCATATAGAGAAGCAAGGAGAAGACTAGTAGACTGTTTCATTTCATGTTAATCTAGCCTTTCCCAGCTGTTTGCCCTGGAAACGAAACCAACAATATTTGCCAAAATTCAACTGGTGATAATTTTGAAACTGTCTGACAATTTACATGGAAAAAATACTATACTTGACTCACCCCTGGGCTCACAGAATACAATTTGATTAATTCTAGCATCTCTAATTTCTGGAAGTAAACTTTGGATAGTCATTTGAATATTGGATCCATACCTATCCCAAATTGACTTGTAAGTTTAAACCTCCAAAACAGCAGACTTCTATACTGTTGCCTTTAAACTAAGTTTGCTTTAGAATGCATACATATATGACAGTCAAATCAGTCATATTTTATGCCTTAAGATTGCTAGCTTCTGTTACAGGGCCACTATGGCAACTGCCCCAGATGCTGGTCAGTTGATTGCCATGCTCTTGAAACTAATAAGTGCCAAAAAGACAATAGAGATTGGTGTCTTTACTGGATACTCCCTACTGCTTACTGCCCTTACAATACCAGATGATGGCAGGGTCAGAGCTACTAACAATTCTTCATCATTGTGAATCAAACATATGGAACTGTTTCTTGGCTTACAATATTTATTCTTGCAGATTGTAGCAATTGACCAGAACAGAGAAACATTTGAGATAGGGCTGCCAATCATAAGAAAAGCTGCAGTTGAGCATAAGATCGACTTCATTGAATCCGAGGCTCTTCCAGTTCTTGATAAACTCCTTGAAGAAGTACGGTTCAAGTAACTTAAATTTGTTCTCTTATCTCTTCACCATACTAACCTTCTGTTTTATAACTTTTCATGTTTGGAGGTTAAGTTAGCTTATCTCTTTTAATATCTTCTGGTTCTGTTGTAGAATCTTAACCATGAAGCCTTTGACTTTGCTTTTGTTGATGCGGACAAATTAAATTATCTGAAGTACCATGAGAAACTGTTGAAATTGTTAAAGCTTGGTGGAATAGTTGTATACGACAACACACTTTGGGGAGGAACAGTGGCCTTGCCGGAAGAATCTGTGGCTGGGGAAATGAAAGCAGGCAGGCATTTCACAATTGAGTTCAACAAATTGCTAGCTGCTGATACCCGAGTTCAAATATGCCAGGTTCCTCTGGGTGATGGGATTACTATTTGTAAGCGTCTCCACTAAGCTTATGCTGGAGTACTTATTTGGTAGCTGTAAATTTCTGTTCTTTATCAACATGCTTGTAAGCACGAAGTTGTGGAGTTGAGATTCTTGTTTTGTGTTAATATCAGCCTTCAGTACAAGATTTTAATGCCTTTTTGAAATAGATAAAAGAAGTCATCGTTGGAAGGAAATTATTTGCTAGTCACATAAGATCATAGGAAATGCACATTGTTTTCTAAGGTTTCGAGCTACCATGATCGAGTATATATAGTCTGAGAAAACAAGAAATTCCTTCAAGCTATATTAGGGAGATTATAATAGTTTATTTATAATAATATGCTTGTAAATAATGTTTTTGACATCAAGGGCAGCAAGCATCATTACGGTTTGAGGAGCCTTATATTACAATAGCTAAGTACTAATTCTTCAAAAGTTTCTTGATAATCACTCGTTGCTTCTGTTTTGGATGTTTCCAACTTACAAATAGTACACCAATATCATATATCAGTGAGCTGGAGAATGAATTGAAGGATATGAATTTAGCTTGGGAACACTACTTTGCCTTTCTACTCTCAGACCCTCCTTATTTGCTTGGAAAAATTAAAGTTACTTCAATTGAAACTAGGCTGGTCTCTGCTGTCCTAACTCCCAAGGATGTCGTGGATTTTCGTTGGCAATTAGATAATTGTACTCGAAAGTGTTGGTTGTTTGAAGCCATTGCAGTTGGTAAAGTTGATAAAATGACAAACACATGCTTGCTGGACATGTCTCAGAACATTATCATTGCAGTTGGTAAACTAGCTAAATTAATACGACCAAGTGTCGGTTTTGAGGTTTGTTTTCTTTCTTTCTTTCCTTTTTTTTTTCAAATTTGATTTGTTGAGACATTTAACCTGGAGGGAATTCGTACTTAAAGCAATCTACAATCATGACACAGATAATCATCAGGAAAAAAAAAAAAAAAAAAAAAGAGAGAGAGAGAGAGAGAGTCCTACTTTTCTCTTCTTTTGTTACTTCATCTGGACCCGTATTGGTGTGGTAAATTGGTCCGTGCTTAGAAGGTGAAGACTTAAAAATTAAGCGAAATCTGGTTTTGAACAGAAAATAAAACGAAAGGGACATGAATTATTTGATTTAGTTAAAAGCAGCCCGAATTCTTGATTCGCAGCATTTTCTTCGGGTCAGTATATTTGACTTATCATACACACTAGAAATTTTGTGTAGCAAATCCTTGAATTGTTAGTCGGATTGAGCTGGTAGTGAAAGAATCAGAACAAAATCTAGAAAATGCATTGCTTACAATCACGAGTAGGTAGGTGCGTTCAAACGTTTTTGCAAAAAAAGGAATCTTCTTATCAAATGTAACATATAAGTCAGTCATCGACTTACAAATTACAATGGAAAGGTTGCTACACGATGGTCTCCACTCTATAGAGTCTTCTTTTACTATTCAAAATTTGAAATCGTTGGCCAAATTATTCGTTCCATGACTTGCTACACAACTCTCAATATAGTAGTTGACTCAATGGAAATTTCTTTCAAAAATTAAAGGGAATTATTAATTACTCCTGTGGTTAATGTACATAATGTAACTGTAGGCGATTAACGGTCTCGTTTGGCAAATGAGTTTTTGGGTATTTGTTTAAAATTTTACTATAACGTTACTGTAAAAGTTGTAGGAAAAATTTTTAAAATGTGTAAATTTTTTAATATTTTGAAAGGTATAGTTTAAAAACTTCGAGAAGTTTTTTGAAGTTGCTGTAGCTAAAATTGTTAAAAAAATTGTAGAAGACAAAAGTTTGGTCAAAAACTTGTTTGCCAAACAGTTGGTTAGTTGGCTGTTCAGAACATCTGGATTGAAGAAAAAAAATCCCAATTGCTTCCCCAGAACGAAAGAAAGCTTAAAGTGGGGGAAAATAAACATTATGCGAACATATTTTGCAGATAGCCAATCCGTGATTAACTGAAAACCTTTCAAAATTTAAAGCCACAAAACACCTTTTCAGCAAGTAAATATTAATTTTTTTAAATAGAAAGGCCCAAAACGAATGTTCTTTCATAATTGCATTCCTTGTGGACTCTCCTCTTTACACAAGGATGAGGTCTTCCCATGTACCTATTACCTAACACCGCCCCTTGTTTTAGTTTCCCGTCAACGTAAATTCTTGTTGGGGCATTTATCCATAAGGGGACGAGGTAGGTTGCTATTGAATTGAGTTGAATTCAAATAGTGCACTATTCGAGTAAAAATGCTTCAGTTCAACCTTATCGAATTCCTCAAAGTTGAACTCAACCTCATGTTCGAACTTATTTTATCTTATTTAAACACAATCAAATTGAGCTCAATCGAGTTTTCAAGTTCGATTGTCTAGTAAGTATTTATAATTTTATAATAAATAATTTAAGATTATATTATAAATATATTAATCAATAAAACTCGATGAGTATTTGAATTTTGATTTTTTCTATTCAAACTCGATTTGATTATCTTATCAAATTGTTCGAATTCAATCAACACCAAGTACGAGATGAGCCTTCGACCGAGATACTTGCGAGCCCGAGTCGAGTGTGGAGCCAATCACTTACCGAATCCTTTTCGTGCTTAGACGATGGTATTGAAGATGTTTAAGAAGAAGAGATATAACTACAACTTTGTACAAACTCAACTCACCATTGTACACGAATTTGGCAGCACAAGTTACTGCGTCAACCCAACCATATGGGAATTGCTCTGCGCTTTCCTTCCTAGAGCAGCACGACTGGAAAATTCCAACTCTTAATAATAATAAGCAGATAAAAACGCCGAAACCAACTTGTCAGAAGTACGAAAAATGAACCCATAAGACTAAAATCGTGTCAGTATTGTACTCTTCTCCTAGGTGAGTCATATAATTGGGACAACCTCATTGAGTTGATTCCTTAATTACACCTTCATAGCAATATTCGTTGAATATCAGTAGTAACACCTTTCGTAATTGGACTTTCTGGCTAATCACAAATCGTATGGCATATCTACTATAGTATCTACATTCACTAAACTCAAGAATTTGATTTGAATTGGTTGTCAATGATGTATGCTCATTTTGGAGTATTTTGATTTGTATGACAAAAGTAGGGAGCGGCATTTTCCTAAAGCAACCGGCAAGAGTCGTAGGGTAGAATAGCTTCCCTTTCTGATCACCTCCTTCTTCAGCTCTCGGTGAAGAACACAACAACTAACAAAGAAGAAGGATAAATGGGAAGCGAGGGATTGTTGCGCAGTCCAGAATTACGCCGGGTACGTACGCACTGCTGGTCTCATTGCACGGCATTTTGGATATATTTTTCTGCTTGTTTTCTCGTTTCGTGTGAAGCTATTAACACTTGAAAAAAAGGCTTAACCATGTCTACGTTTCTGTCTAAAAGTATCTGCTGGAGACTAGCGTATATCCACGGGAGCCACAGGTTCTCAAGGACTTGAGGGCTGTCACTGCAACTCATCCAATGTGAGTTCTTGTATTAAATGTTCGTTCTTGTATATAATTTGAGTATGACGGAGAAATGGAAATGGTGCGGTTCTCTTGTATGTAGCAGTAGTACTTAGGACTAATAGCCGGCCGTACAAAATTGCGATTTTCAGGGGGAACCGACGCTGATGCGGGTCAGATCAGATGCTGTCTTTGCTGTTGGAGATAATCAACGCCAAGAAGACCATTGAAATTGGGGTGTTTACTTACAGGATACTCCCTGCTCCTCACTGCTCTTACTATACCCCAGGATGGCAAGGTTTAATTCTGCTCATCTTTAATTTTATTGGAGCTCAAAGCATGTAACCCCTATTTGGATTGCCATTTTTCTCCAAAAAAAAAATTTTTTTTATGAAGATATTTCTCAACCTTTTTTTTACCTTACATATATATATATATATATCAAATCGACACGATACTTTTTTTTTTTAACAAAAAATCGGAAAATAGCAATCTAAATACTTTTTAAAGTGTTACAGCTAGCTAACTACTACTAGGTCCTTTCTACCTTACGTTACTGTTCCAAATGAAGTCACTGCTACATAAATATCACCAGCTCCTACGTTTTTTTTCCCCTGATTTCCTTTCTTTTTCCGTAGATCATAGCCATGGACCCGGATCAGGAGGCACATGACATCGGATTACCATTTATTAAAAAGACTGGAGTTGAACACAAAATCAATTTCATCAACTCTGTGGCTCATCCCGTGCTGGATAATCTCCTGGAAGATGTGAGATTATTTTGAATAATTTGTTGTTGCACCATAGAAACTACTCCATCGAGTAATTCTTTCACGTTAACATGTTTATGGGACGGTTGATCATGGATTTCTTCTTCTTCTTTTTTTTTTTCCCCCTTTTGGGTGGGGGCTCTGCTGCTGTAGTCTAATGAACATGACAGCTTTGATTTCGCCTTCGTTGACGCGGATAAAGCGAATTATGCAAAGTACCATGAGAAGCTATTGAAATTGGTGACGGTTGGTGGAATAATTGTGTACGATAACACACTGTGGATGGGAACTGTGGCTGAAGCAGAAGACTCGGTTCCCGAGACACTGAGAGAATCCAGGTTTTACATAAAGGAGCTTAACAAATCACTTGCTGCTGATCCTCGGGTTCAAATCTGCCAACTCCCTTCAGGCGATGGGATGACCATTTGCAGGCGACTCCGCTGATCTTCCCGATTTAAAAGTGGCCTTGAATAAATTTGGTGAACTGGACGTCCTTCCACAGGACTCGTCACCAATGCCATTTCTCAGCTTTTCTGTGTTCGTTCGGTTTTTTTTTTTTTTTTTTCAACACAGGGGTAATCCCCTTCCGTGTTCGTTTCTTATAGACTACGTTTTGGTCTCCATTGAAAACTTGGTGGAGTTTCTCCAGTTCCAGTCTTGTGCCTTCCTTTTTATTATAAAAAAAAAAAAAAAAAAAAAAAAAAAAAACTCTTACCGTAGAAGAGTTATACATTCTAATATAATTATTTGTGCAAGTGAGCGGATTTCAAGTCTAGCATACAAAGGCAATTGTTCAGCTGTTGGCTCTTTGTCCATGATAGGTTCTCTATTAAGTCATGATAGGAAATGGTTTGCCTGCTTCGTGGTGCTTCGAGTGCCTTGCTGAATCCATTATTGTGATTCTTCAGCCTTCACTTGTAACACACTAATGATTTAGGAAAGAGTTGAAATAAA